ATGTCGGGAGGCCGGGCTCTGCCACCGTCCCGGTCACGTCTGGTGGAGGCGCTTTGTCTGCGCCTGCTCCAGGAGTACCCGGGACCGCGGCGGCCCACCGCCAACCAGCCTCGCCAGGTGTCGCGCCGGCGCCTTATCCTGGCGGCGTACGACCGGGTGCGGGGGAGGCTGCACAACAGCCGAGCGCTCCTGGAGGGTACCGGCATCCAGCTGTACCCTCTCAACGAGAGCACGCTCGGCAAGTGGTGAGTACCTGGCGCGAGTGTGTTTTTTTTCAAGTGATACCAGCTCGCGTCCTCCTGACAACGCCAGTGACTGTGCCTAATATCCGCTGTCTTGCCACCTGAGAGTGATTGATTGGTTGATGCTCTGGTCGTTTGTCGAAGGCACAAGGCCGCACGCATCCGACGCAACTCATGTGAGTGACGCGCTGTTCGTCGTCTTTGGCAGGTTCAAGGACCGGACGCGTCTGGACGAGGTCCGCACGCTGCTGCAGGGCCGGGACCTGCCTGCCGAGCGACCCTTGGCGGCAGGACACCTACCCGCAGCAGCGACGCGTCCGGTCACGCCTCCCCCACGCCAGCATCCGGCCGTGCAGCTGCCGGAGCCATCCGACACCGTTGGCGAGGCGTCGGGTGCGCCGCCCGGCCAGCTCGCCGGCGCCGCCACCTCCTGCCGCGCCGACAGCACCGCCAGTCGTCGTGGTGCTGCCGTACGTTGCCGGTGGACGCAGCCGCCCTCCAGCGCCTCCTAGGCGCCGCTGCCGACCCAGCCGCCCTCCAGCGGCTCGTCAGCGCACCGCGCCAGCACCGGCGGCCGCGGCGCCCGGCCCAGCCGCGGCCGGGGGCATCGGTGAGCCGCCGCAGGTGCAGCCCCGCCCGGTTTCCCGCACCACCCAGTGGCGTCGCCGGCGCGGGGCTACCGCGGCGGCTGCCGCTGCCGCCGGTGATGCGCCGCCGCCGCCTCCTCCGCCCCGCCAGCGCAATGTCTACCGCTGCAGGGTGTGTGGGCGGCCCGTGACCGACGCCGGTCACACACAGTTTCCGCGGGCCAGCGGTTCTGCCCGCACAACCCCCTGCAGCGGCTGACGGCGGCCGAATGGCTGGCGGAGCGGCGGGCGGAGGCGGCGCGCAAAGGCAGGAAATGATGATGTATGTGTTTTGTCATGAGTTTGCCCAGAAACGTTTGCCAAAATACAGTTGGCGAAGTCGAATGTTGGCCTTTTTGTTGACATCACTGCAGTCTTGGCCATGAATCAGCAAATGTTGGTACTTGGTGTACGCACTGCTCGTTCACGCCTTCATCGCGCCCGGCGTGTAAACGCCCTCTTGTCGGCCGGCTGACGGCTGCGTTGCGTGGGCGCCGTCTACCGGCCGACGCAGCCCGCCGCCTGCCGGCGCGGTCTGGAACTCGCCTGTTTCCCCCCCCCCCTCCCCTTCCCCATCTTTTCCCTCCGCGACGGGGAACTTTATCCTCCAGTCGCTTGTCGTGCACTTACATACTAAATGGACCATGCCCTTTCATTCAGAAATGAAAAAGTCGCGTTTCGAAAATTTTCACTTTTCGACAAAATGGCCCGCCCCAAAAAAATTTTGGTCGGTCCACGGTGATCGGCAATGTTGTCAACAAGTGGTAACATCGGTTTACATCGTTTGCAAGTTAAAGCACCCTTCGATTTTCATTGGTTCGTTGGATATGAGTTTGGAACATTTTACTACCCGAAAAACGGCTGTTTTCAATCTGAACATGCATCCCATTTGTACGCGTCCTGGATTTCATATTGGCCCTCATACGGGTCCGTAAAAGAGTCGTTTCTGAAATGGGCCGTTTTTCGCATCAATGTGGCCGCGGCCAGATTTGTGATGACTTGCATGTTGACAACAGCGCCACTGAATGCTTGTTCCACACTGCGTATCGTCCTGCACCCGGCAATCTGCTTTCAAACGGAGCGGCTCTCAGAACCAAAACCATGGAAGTGTGCGTCCATCAAGATTGCTGTATGTTTCCAGCAACGCACTAATGTTTTACTATATGTCATTCGACGCGCAATCGCGCGCCGAACACCCTGGTATAACTTAGAAACATTAACGCAAGTATAGTTTTGAAGTTATTTCCAAAAAAACGCTATCAAACGGCACTCGATGTTGATTTTAGAATTGCTGCACAAGCTGTTTCCCTGCACAGAAACACTTGCCGCTGCACTTACACACTAAATGGACCATGCTCCGCTCATTCAGAGGATAAAGAGACGGGGTTTTGGAAAATTTTCATGTTCTTTACGATAAAAAGGCGCCCCCAAACACTTTTCCCGTCGGCACCCGGTGATAAAAATGTTGTCAACAAGTGGCAACATCGGTTTTCATCGTTTGCGAGTTTAAAGCACCCTTCGATTTTCATTGGTTCGTTAGATATGAGTTTTGAACATTTACTAACCCGAAAAACGGCTGTGTTCTATCTGAACATGCCTCCAATTTGTACGCGTGCTGGATTTCATATTGGCCATCATACAGTTCAAAGAAACGTACTTTTCTGAATGGCCCGTTTTTTCGCACCAAATTGGCCGCGGCCAGATTTGTGATCACTTCCATGTTGAAAACACCGATACTCAGTGCTTGTTTCCACCACTGTGTAATTGTCTGCATCGGATATCTGCTTTCAAACGGAGCGGCATTCAGAAACAAAAACATCGAAATTTGCGGCCATCAAGAATGCTATATGTTTGCAGCAACGCACTAATGTTTTGCTATATGTCATTCGACGCGCAATCGCGCGGCGAACACGATGGTATATTTTAAAACCGTAACGAACGTATAGTTTTTAAAGTTATTTCCATAACACTCTCTCAAACGGCGCCTCGATGTTGATTTTGCAATTGCTGCAACAAACTGTTTGCATGCACAGAAACACTTGCTGCTGCACTTACACATTAAATGGTCCATGCCCTTTCATTGAGAAATGAAAAAGTCGCGTTTAAAAAGTTCATTTTTTTCGCCAAAATGGCCCCCCGCAAAATTTTCCGTCAGCACCCGGTGATCAAAAATGTTGTCAACAAGTGGTAGCATCGGTTTACAACGTTTGCAAGTTAAAGCACCCTTCGATTTTCATTGGTTCGTTAGATATGAATTTGGAACATTTTACTACCCGCAAAAACGGCTGTGTTCAATACGAACATGCATCCAATTTGTAAACGTGCTGGATTTCGTATTGTCCATCATACGGGTCAAAGAAACGTCCGTTTCTGAAATGGGCCATTTTTCACAACAAAGTGGCTGCGGCCAGATTTGTGATCACTTGCATGTTGACAACAGCGCCACTGAATGCTTCTTCCACCACTGTGTATCGTCTGCATGAGCAATCTGCTTTCACACGGAGCAGCTTTCAAAAACAAAACCATGTTAATTTGTGGATATCAAGAATGCGGTATGTTTCCAGCAACGCACGCAGGTTATAGTATATGTCATTCGATGCGCAATCGCGCAGCTAACACGATGGTATAACTTAAAACATCAACGCGCGTATAGTTTTGAAGTTATTTCCATAACACGCTCTCAAACGGCGCTCGATGTTGGTTTTGCAATAGCTGCACAAGCTGTTTGCATGCACAGAAACACTTGCCGCTGCACTTACACACTAAATGGATCATGCTCTTTCATTCAGAAATGAACAAATCGCGTTTCGACAATTTTTAATTTGTTTCGAAAATTGGCCCCCGCAAAAAAACTTTCCGGAGGCACCTGGTAATCAAAAATGTCAACAAGTGGTAACACCGGTTTACATCGTTTGCAAGTTAAAGCACCTTTTGATTTTTTAATTCGTTAGATGTCAGTTTGGAACAACGTTTCTACCCCAAAACTGCTGTTCTCAATCTGAACATGCATCCAAGTTGTGCGCGTGCTGGATATCATACTGGCCCTAATACAGGTCGAAAAAACGTCCCTTCATGAAATAGGCGGTTTGTTTTCGCATCGAAGTGGCCGCGCCCAGATTTGTGATGACTTGCATGTTCCCAACAGCCCCACTGAATGCTTGTTCCACCACAATGTATCGTCTGCAACCGGTAATCACCTTTCAAACGCAGCGGCTCTCAGAAACAAAACCATGAAAATTTTGCAGCCATCAAAAATGCGGTATGTTTTCAGCACGCACTGTTTTACTATTTGTCATTCGACGTGCAATCGTGCGGCAAACATGGTAGTATAACTTAAACATTAACACACGTATAGTGTTGAAGTTGTTTCCAAAAAAACGCTCTCAAACGGCGCTCGATGTTGATTTTGGAAACACTTTGCCGCTGCACTTACACACTAAATGGACCATGCCATTTCATTCAGAAATGGAAAAATTGCGTTTCGAAAATATCTATTTTTTCGACAAGTTCCCCCCCGCCGAAAACTTTCGGTCTGCACCCTGTGATCAAAAATGTTGTCAACAAGTGGTAACATAGGTTTACATCGTTTGCAAGATAAAGCACCCTATGATTTTGATTGGTTCGTTAGATATGACTTTGGAACATTTAACTACCCGGAAAACTGCTGTTTTCAATCTGAACATGCATCCAATTTCTACGCGTGCTGTATTTCATATTGGCCCTCATACGGGTCGAAAAAACGTCCGTTTCTGAATTTGGCCGTTTTTCGAATCAAAGTGGCCGCGACCAGATTTGTGATCACTTGCATGTTGACAACAACGCCACTGAATGCTTGTTCCAACACTGTGTATCGTCTCCACCGACAATCTGCTTTCAAACGGAGCGGCTCTCAGATACAAAACCATGGAAATTTGCGGCCATCACGAATTCTATATAATTCCGGCAACGCACTAATGTTTTTACCATATGTCATTCGACGCACTATTGCGCGGCAAACACGATGGTTCACTTAACACATTAACGCACGTATAGTTTTTAAGTTATTTCTAAAAAACGCTCTCAAACGGAGCTCGATGTTTGTTTTGCAATTACTGCACAAGCTGTTTGCAGGAACAGAAACACTTGCCGCTGCACTTACACACTAAATGGACCATACCCTTTCATTCAGGAATGAAAAAGTCGCGGTTGCAGAACTTTCATTTTTTCGATAAAATAGCCTCTCCAAAAAATTCTGTCGGCACCCGGTAATCAAAAATGTTGTCAAAGAGTGGTAGCATCGGTTTACATCGTTTGCAAGTTAAAGCACCCTTCGATATTCATTGGTTCGTTAGATATAAGTTTGGAACAATTTACTCCCCGGAAAACGGTTGTTTTCAATCTGAACATGCATCTAATTTGTACGCGTGCTGGATTTCCTATTGGTCCTCATACGGGTCGAAATAAGTCCGTTTCTGACATGGTCCGTTTTTCGCATCAAAGTAGCCGCGGCCAGACTTGTGATCACTTGCATTTTGACAACAACGCCATTGAATGCTTGTTCCACCACTGTGTATCGTCTGCACGGGCAATCTGCTATCAAAGGTAGCGACTCTCAGAAACAAAACCGTGGAAATTTGCGGCCATCAAGAACGCTATATGTTTCCAGCAACGCACAAATGTTTTACTATATGTCATTTGTCGCGTAATCGCGCAGTATAATCGCGCGGAACACGATGGTATAACTTAAAACAGTAACGTACATATAGCTTTAAAGTAATTTCCAAAAGCGCTGTAACACGGCACTAGATGTTGACAGTGCAATTGCTGAACAAGCTGCTTGCATACACAGAAACACTTGCCGCTGCATTTACACACTAAGTAGACCATGCCCTCCCATTCAAAAACGA